GCAGTAGTAGGCATATCCCTCATCTCATAATGATCAACCAAAGACAAATGTGAAGCATCATGATCATTATCACGAATATTCACTTTACCGTCAAGTTCATCATTTTCAAACTCTTTAATAACAGAAGTAGACAATTTTGGTTCCTCCTCACAAATCATTAAAGGTTTTATATCTTCACTCTGACTAGTTATACTTTGTAAACTTGTGGAGTCAGAACTCCACTCTGAAGCAGTAACTCTATTCTGTGACACTCTATTCAGCAACGGCTTACCAGTTGCAACTACAGACTTCTTCACAACACCGTTATCGTCACACAATTCGGAGTCAGACCTGGAGTTTACATTTAGCTTATCACTGAACTTGCTCACTGGTTCACAGTTCACTTCTGTATGCACCTCTTGCACACGTGTAAAACAAAGCCGTGTTTGCCTTGCATCTTGTAACTTATCTGTTGAGGATGTACTACGAAACCTGTTACACTCACTAGGTCTATATGCATTACTAGACATCATGGAGTCTTCTCGATATCCACCTCTCTGAGGCTTATTCGTCATCAATGATTGCGTTTTACCCTCAGACTGCTCTATTCTAGGGGTGAGATCTAACAGACTGGAAAACTTGCTCATAGATTGATTAACACTAGTATTTACCAGTTTCAGGATATCATCAAACTTTGGCTCGATACCCTCATCCTCCATACGGGAGCTTATCTTCACCCACTTCCTTTGCAGTCGGGTAGGTAGACGTCTTGCTATTACTTCTAGGATAAAACTCGAGTTGAGGTCACTCATTCGATTCATCGAAATCATTCCATTCTTGTAAATTAGCAAATTATCTAAAAACTCAGTGAGTGCCTGAGAGTCATCCTGTAATTGACCACCATTACCCTCAACAGCCTCGAATAATTTCCCTGCAATCATCGAAGGTCTTCCAAACCTTTGGCGTAATATGCTCATAGCCTCATCGTAGCCCTCCTTTGGCTTCATAAACTTACAACACTGTATAGCTCTTGCAGCATCTCCAGTGCAATATCTCATCAAATACATCAATTTCAATTCATCATTTAATAAAAAACCACTCAACATGATCTCAAACTCCTTTACAAATTGTAAATAATCAGCCGGGTTTCCATCAAAACACCGTGGTTCAAATTTAGGGAGTTTGATGTTCCTATTATCCCTGAACGGCGAAACAGTAACATCAACCATATCGCGTTTAACATCAGACACATCGTTACAATTAACAGACAAGTCACCATGACTTACTTTCCTGTTTGCATCCAAGACACTCTGTCCCTTCTTTGACCCAGGCATTGTTGAACTTGACCCAATTCCAAAAAAGTTCCAGATATTGCTTGTTCAAAGAGGACTTGACCGGCACCAGGAAAGATGAACGGTGACTATCCAAACTTTCACCAACTGTTTGAATCCGCCAGATCTGTTTCTATCGTCAGAAACTGTCATCAAAGTCTCATAAACCGTTAATGCCCAGCTCTCGCTACGCTCGGGCCCACGCTGTTCTTAGAAGATTTCTGAGAAACGCTTAGTAACAACGGACGAAAAAACCAGAACACCAATTGTTGACTTGAGTATTATGTATTGTTACACCAGCATATAAATCAAGTATCACTAAGCAAACTAAGAAAACTAAGGTCTGTAAACAAATATTACAATAATAAATCGTTATGTTACTTCTGACGATATTTAACTCTTCTTTCTGAACAGCGACCGATGAGACGATGACTGTCGTATTGATGCCTCCGCGAAAATCGAGGAAGTTGATTTTGAGCAAACAACCAAGAATTGATCGTTCAATCTTCAACTCCATTGACACTCCTCCTGGATGGTATTGCGTAGCAGAGTGCCACAAGTCCCAGGACTCGGACCTCTCCTATTTATTTTGTATATCAGTGAGTCATTTCCTGCTCACCGATTCCCCTATGGTCCTATACGCGAATGGCGTAAAAATATGGAGAGGACTGGGGGGAAAAAAGATAGGCGGTCGTTACAAAAAGACCTCAACAAATTGTGCTGCAGCGAATGGATGATCCTGATCGGTGTGGCGACATGTGCATTGGACATGCAAGCGTCAGCTCCCACGAACTAGAGGGGATAACGCTCCCATCAGTTCAGACTCATTTGGATTTAGGTGTCATAGTAAGTCACGATTTAAAAACTACGACACACTGTTGCGCGGTGGCTGTACGTAGTTTCAGATCCCTATGGACAACTCACAAGGCCTTCACTAGAGTCACAATTGGTACGTTCATCTCCTAACATACATCTCCGGTGAGGTAAAGACTAGAAAACTGTATCCAGACAGCTAGTCCTTGTCTTAAAGGGGACTCATAAATTCCTGAAAAGGGCTAAAGAAAGGCTACACATGATTTCTAGCATGACTAATATTATCATACGAGGAAACACTAGACACAGTATTACAGCTTTCGCCCAACCAGCTACAAATGAGGTCTAGTAAAAACGCTCTTCAACAGAGCCAAAGAAATGTGTTCGGAGGAAAGTATTGAAGAAGAACTCGCCGTCATCGAAAAGAACCTCATCGAGAATGGATATCCCCGAAAGTTCATATTAAAGTATACAAATGAAGAAACACAAACCGAAACCCGACACCGTTGAAAAGAAACCAGTTTTCATCTGCCTAGCGTACAAAGGCGAAGACGTATCCACAAGAACACAAAAAAGAATCACAGGTACATTAAAAAGAACATTTCCTGCTGTCAGACTGATACTATTTCACAACACTGTGTGCTCGTTAACCCAGTCAAAAGTAGATGAGTACCCTACTCACGTCAACTCCAACTGCATTTACCAATACACGTGCACCTGCGGAAGCAAGTACATAGGAAGGACTGAGAGGATAGCATCTACTAGATTTTCTGAGCACATTCCTAAGAGCCTCCGTACAAAAGGAGGAAAAGTGCTATCGAGTGCAATCGCCAGACATTTAATTGACACAGACACACAGTAGAAATCAGCCAAGCCTCCAAAATAATCAATGCGCAAAGAAACCCATGGCTACTTCGTTTCGAAGAAACCATCGCTATCAAGAGACTTCGACCAGACCTCTGTACACAGAAAGATAGTGTGACTAATATTTCACTACCCTGGTAACCCTAATCCTATTTTATTTATTTTTGTTTTACCTTTTTGTCAGTATGCCCATGTGTTTGTCTTGCTACGAAACATTCTATTCAATTTTTTCCTTCAAGTTTCTAAACCTACTTAATTGTCTGTTTAAGTTGAAAAAATGTTACTTCACTACTCACCCCCACCCTCTTAAACTCTCCACCACAAAATGTGTAAGTTCACTCTGTTCTCTGACCCTGACCTTATATGCCTCTAACCAACCTGTGTTTTCCAATAGAAATCTGAACTCTAAACCCTCTTATCTAATTCCGCTATATATAATTAGTTCTTTTTGACACTGAATAATCTGCCTACCTACATCAAATTCCGGAATTATGTTCCTTATACCTTCTCTTTATAACTCCAAGTAATTATGAAAAGTATGTTCCAAAACTTTTCTGAAACTTATAATTTGATTTTGTTTAGGATGTACTCAGTTGATGAGTATCCACGAAATAAAACGAGCCCGTATTATCCTGCAAACATGTTCGTTCTTCCTCTCTTCAAACTAATAAATGAACCGGTTGTATGACACACTAGATAGTTTAAATGTTTTCCCCCTATCGCACCATAGGGAGGGAGGAGGTTTAATTATAATGTTTGAAACTTTAAATAATGACTACAGACCTTATCTATCCTCTCTTTTCTTTCACAGCAGGTCGGAACACCTCAGAGGACATAGCAGGAGGGTTCAAAAGCCATGAAGAAATCTTATTGCTGTTGAGCATTGGTTCTCACATCGAGTCAAAATCTCCTGGAAACCGACTTCCAGAAGAAGTGGTGTTAGCATTAATTTGGGTTAGCGTTTCATTTCATAGTCATATCAACATATCCAAGACAGTTAACATTTGTTTTATTCCAGCTAATTTACTCTGTGAAGTGTCCTTCAGGGTTGTCGCATACTTCAAACTTCGTTGTTTTTGTACGGTTGGACACATACTGACTCCCGGATTTCCAGGTATTCAGATCTCGTTGGGGTACACCCTACCTTTATTTTTCGATTCACAAAAAAGCCAGTCTTCAGTCACTTTGGTGAATACATCTATAGAAACTAGTCCAACTCAGCAACTGATGCTTTTCATCATAACTGGGACTTATTTTTAAGTCATGTCAGGACAGTTAATCTGTTTAATGTGTTTCATGCATTTTCTTGTGAATATACGTCATTTTTCTTGCAAAAATTCCTCATTTTTATGATTGGCTGCCCGAAGGTCACTCGTGCGTTCGCATCCCTTGGGACGCTATTGTTGAACTTTGCCAATAAAAATTCTCACCTTTCAAAGATGTTAGCTTACCTTGGTTTTCGCCTCTTCCTCACGTCCATAATAAACAATTGTGAGATTGTTAACAATCTGATCGTACTATTAAGTCCCAGCTGTGACATTTGTGTGCAAACACAGAATATCTTCATAAAAGTCCTGTTTCTTATTTTATTTTATTCTCTGAATAGTTTTGATGTAGTCTGAATTGTCTCTATGGTAACCCCCTGTTTAGCGATATTCCATTCTGATATATTTCTTTGAAATGTGACCACCTGGGCAAAATGAGGGTGGGTACTGTTTAATGATTGGAATATCAGAGGTGGAAGTGCACTTATCTATCATAACATGTAGTGATAAATAATATTTGTATAAATAAATAAATTCCCGACATCTCATGAACACCACCCTACCCATGTATTTGCCAGAGATAACCCAGAACAGTAACCAAACGCATAATCACTTGAGTCTATACGTATATTATCACTAAAAAATTGTTATGTCATTTCTGCAAACGGTAACTCGTCCTAAGAAAAGTTGTTGTGTGGAGCAAGTGATCGCATGGCGAGAAACCTGTAAGTTTTAATTCATTTCAACTAGTATTCGTTTCCACCAATTTCTGTTCCGTAATTGCGGATAAATTGATGGAATGTTATCTCCTGAGACGGGTTTTTGGTTCTTTGTTTGGTGAAACCTCTCCTATTAATCTTTGCTTTTGGTACAAATTTGTTTCGAAATCTGAAATAGTTTCTATCTCTTGCAATCGCTTTTAGATCTTTTGCCTGGTTATATAATACCTACTTTACTTTTTCCTATTGTTTTTTAAAGAAGGTAATAGTTGCTTAACCTAGGTTAAGCACAGCTGTGGTACTATTTTTCTAATAGAAAGTTCATCAATATCATTTCAGGCTCCAAGCTTAAACAATGTCAGATGAGAATGAAAATGAATGTGAGGAGTTCTTAAGCATCGTAAAACTTTCTTTGAAGGAAGACAAGGAGCATGTTCATGTCCTCGTTATTATTGGTGCTTCTGTAAGAGTTTTTACAATGCTTATTCATGAATATTTTAGGGTGATTTAGCAAAAAAGAAGACTTACCCAACTTTATGGTAAGTTTCCAGTTAACTTACTTTGAACTCAGGTGGTTGTTTCGCGATGGTCTTTTACCCCCTCGAACTTTCTTTATTGGGTTTGCGAGGTCTGATATAAGTGTGGAAAATATAAGAGAAGCAAGTGAAAAGTATATGAAGGTGAGATATTGCACTTGGTGTATTGTTAACAGTGTCAAAACTCAAGCATTCATTTTTTTATACTAAATATGTGATGTTTACCTATAATCTGATTTTTTGTTCTGACTTTAATTTTTCTTACGAATTATAGGATCTCAACAGATACCTAATTGATTCTTTATGACCGTACTTTTACATGCTTAGGGTCACATAAGTAGACCCGCATTTTGTTTATCGCATTTACCATCAGCGTCGACTGACAATTAAAATCCGTGATTACTAAATAATGAGGAAGATATGTTCCATTATCATGTCTTTTCGGCATTTCTATTAACCAGTGACAGGTCATTGTGCAACTCGTATTCTTGAAACTTAAGTTCCAGCAGATATTTCTTTAGCAAGTATGGGATAATTCTGATAAGGTTCCTTCACGTCAATCAAGGCGGGTTATAAACCAGTCATGCAGATAACTCGTAACAAAATTGCAGTTCTTGGGATATTTATTGTGATTTTAATTGTATTGGTCGAAAATCTAGAAATTTTTGAATGTTCAGATTTTTAATAGAATTTCGTGACATCGTGCGTTCATTTTCTTGTATTAGATTTTTTCTGTTGATAGAAAATGGAGCTGTTTGACAAAGCTGTTAAGTAAAGCAAGGCCTGTTTAATACATTGAACTGACGCAGATGAAGTTTTGCAAAAGTTTCATATCTATTTTAACTGTAGGCCTTCAGAATTTCTCATATAAAGCCTAGTTTACCAAATTATAGTGGCAAATAGGACAGTTGCAAAATAGTCGTTTACTTTACGGGTTTTATTAAACAAAAATGTGTCTACCAAGTTGACTTAAAATGTAAGGGTCTTTTGAATTAACCCGCTTTGATATATTTGGTTGATCAGTAGTATAGGTTCAGAGATCTGTGTAGTATTTCAAGGGTTGCGTATTGACTTTTATTATTCATGGTCTGTTGCTTCATGTTTTACCCATTGCTCGGTTTCCAATGCTGTGTTTCTACAAAGCGGTCTTATACAGCTTCTTCGCTGCAAAGAGTTTGACCTCGTTATATTCTAATGACTTATTTGGTTGGATAAAGTGTTTAGCAGAACTATTGTGCAGGAAAGTGGTGTAACTAGACGATGTCAGACGTAGTTTATTGTTCGCTGTCTTATCAAGACAGATGCACAATTGTAAGATGTAGTTTTTATCAGAGTCTCTTTTCGGATGTCGCTGATCATATCCGGATATAAGAGTAGTCGGTTTATTTCACCCTATTGTTATTTTGTTCTATTCATATCCGAGCTGTTCTTCGGATTGCTTATTTAGGTGATTAAATGAAGTTCTTTTACCTTTTTGCCGTAAGTAAACCTTACTAAGTTCGTAGACCAATGGCTTCTAAATGGTAATCATTTTAAGATTCTAGCAAACATTTCTTATCCAGTAGATAGGTGGGAACCTTCAACTAACGAGGTTTCCTAAGTTGTGTGTTTGCAGTTCGACTAGGTGAAGTTTTAGTTCCCTGCATCACTTTAATACCTGTTAAATTCTTATGTTATGTGACAGCATTGTTGAGCTAATGTAAACTTTTATCGTGTAGTAACTGTTACTGATATAGGCGATGCGTATATCATCGCTGAATGTTTTGGTTTCCACTACTTTGTGAAGAATTTTTAATAAATATAGAGGGAGTTTATTCAGCCGAGATTTCTTTAATACACATCATCCTGTCATAAATTCTTTTTGGTGTTTATACTGATAATTCTCCTATTCCAACACTTCACTAGATATATTTTTAAATAACAATGAAAACAGCTCAATTTTGTAATATAAATTAAAATGCATTTTTATGCTAAAATTTGTACTTAGGTCCGTAGTTTGTTTTCACTTGATCAGGTGATCTTATAAGTTGATATGCATTACACTGAAATGGTTGGTATTTAGAATATAATTAAACCATTTATATTATTCGCTAATTTCCTAAATGGGATCAGATTTGCTTCACACCACAATTAAGTTGTCCGTCTGATATGTCGAGCACTGTGTTAGTTTTCTCTTTGTAGATTCTGAAAAGATTGTATTTATATTTTTTCGAATTAGAGTTTACTTGTCCTTAACGTTTAACTGTCCTGGCACAGTATGCCTGCACCTTACATTAATTTACTGCTTCTGTTGAGATCTCTTCTGTCTTTTATTTACAAGATAACATCTCTAAGTTGTAACCCCCTTTGCTGTGAAGTAAATATTTAGACCTATCTGTATCACTCTTTATTACTGAGTGTAGTAATCTTGTTGACAGATCGATAATGCACTTTTTAAAAAAAACTTATCATTGATAATTTCCTTAGTTTTAGTTGGCAAAGATTAGGTTTGTAAAATTTGAATTTTGGAATCGCTAAGTTGCTTCTTTATGATTATAGTTCATGCATTTTATGCCAATCTTTCGCCAGGCACCTAAACAATATTACTTATTAGTCAGAGGTGTTCTATGACCACTAAAACAATTAACAGTACATTGTTGTTCAATGTGTAGATTATTTTGGTATTAAGTGTAATGGCCTTGGACTTAGATTCTACAGTTCTTGGAAACCATTAGTAAAGAGCATTTGCAACCTTGAAATGTCTCATATACCCTCAGGGATTCGAATTATGTCTCACCGTTGTAGGGCAAAAAGCTATCGGTGGGTTTTTCTTCCCATAGTAAGTAAGCACATTAACTGAACTTTGTAGATGTATTAATGAGTGCATGTTGATGACTTATGTAGCTATCTATTTCTAAGGGCTGTTCAAAATCTATTAGTTCACAAATGTACACATAATTTATAAGTTTCCATACCGTAGATATTACGAATTTCCTGGAGTGATTTCATCGCCGAGTCAGATTGAATAATAAATTATTTAAAATAATCCCAGTGCAGCTTACACAGCAAAACATTCAGAAAAATCTTGTTCTAATTTTTTCTTAAACACACTGGGATTATTTTAAATAATTTGTAATGGTACATAAAATTTGTGAATTAACTTCATTTTAGGCAACATATTACAGCTTCTTGAACAGTCAATCGTATATTGGTGTTTATCACTTCTTATTCTCCTAACTTGTCTTTAAATTATCAACTGTTGTTGAGGTAATATCTAGTATTTACTTGCACTAATTTGATTTGTACACTATGTAGCTAAATTGTATTTTAGGTGGTTTCCGTTGAACAAGTCTGCAGCATAAAGTAAAAAAGTGAAACTTACAGTTTCGAAATGTAAGCCACATGATTTAGCCTTAGACTTTACGGGTGTCCTGTTTAAATTTTTATGCAACTCATTTTAACACTTTATTTTAAAGTTGGGCTGTACAAAAAGGTTATTATACTCGATAAGAAGTAGTGGCGCGCATGCTATAAATTATTAATGCTTACATTACAGTTATTAATGGGGGGAGGAGGCACTATCAAATTCTAACAATAAAATGTGTTTTGAAGAATTCCTATTTATTATGAATTTACAAAAGCTAAGCAAATATATTCAGCTTATTAAATGAAGAACCTTTGAAATCTATTCTACTTTTATGCATTCTTTGTAAATGATGTAAATACATGATTCTTATTAATGTTGACCATGTGATTGTGTTTAGATAATTAACTCTTTTAAGTTATGAGTTTGTACTTGGTAAAATGTTTTCTGGATCGATTTTACACGTTGTGTGTGTGTTTGTGTAAGTCTGCGGCTCAACGGACGTAGAAAATAAACATTTGTAAAGCCTTCACACTGCCGAATTTTTGATAATAACATTAGGCTGGCATACATATCAAGAGATAACTAGATACATATCTGAAGAAACCTGGTACTATAACCACTGTGTCGTAAAAGCTAGAGTGAAGACTGTTGATAACTTGTGGCCAAAGATTGGTAAATGCCAGTGGATTTCTGTAGCTTCGTTCAAAATAAAATGTGTGAAAATACCTTTCCCTACAAGTTGATGACACGGCAAGGAGTGAAGGCTCCCGAAACGCAATCTGACTATTAGTGTTTGAAGCGATTGCAATGAAAGTTAATGAACATGGAAAAAGTATTATCTCGTAAGTGAAACGGGTTCTAAAAGGCTATGGTAAGTGAACAGATCCTCGATAAGGATGGAACTTTAGTAAATCAACAAAAGAAACGAGGTCATGCTAGACTGTAAAATAAAGATACTAGCATTTATAGAAGACCTACACACTCTAATGAATGCTTAGACTTTAATTCATCCTATCCAAGATCAGTAAAGGTAGGTTTAGTTAAATGTCTATACATTTGGTCTTAGAAGCTAACTAGTAAGCCGAGAGATTTATATAAGGAAAATATTACAAGTGAATAACGACCCCCCCCCAGGATTTATTCAAAAGTGTATGAATAACCATAGAAAAAAAGGATTAGTAGTGAAAACGATGAAAATAACATAATATGGAATCCAAAGTCTGTGTAGTGCTGCCGTTTGAAGTAGAAACATCGAGAGCCTTGTCTAGAATTCTTAATAAGGCTGGAATTAGGGTGTCATTTAGACCAACTAACTCTTTCAGAGATAAACTTTGTCGGCTTAAGGACCCGATAGATCCAATTAAGAAAAGCAACATAATTTACCAAATACTATGCAATGACTGAGAGGTCAATTACATAGATCAAACTAGTAGCTTGGAGTTAGTTAGATTATTGGAAGATAAACCTAGACTGATTGACCCTTGTAAGTTAAATAACCCAGAAAAAGCCTCGGCTATTGTATTGCATTCATTTGCATGTAAATCACACAATACGCGGGGTAGGACAGGGTGAAAGTATTAAAAAGTAGTGTAGTCCTGTGGAGAAAGATGTTAATCACTGAATCGTTATTTTTATCGAATCAACACTAGGCATGTGCAACCGAAATGATGCAACGCCTATACCGGAGATATGGGAGTTTGCAACAAACAGCATGAGATAGACAGAGAGAGAGAGCAAAAATTTATAAAGCAAATAATGAAGCCGTGTGAATAAACTGAGCGATAAGTTGTGCTCGAAACGTCATCCAGTTATTAGTATTGTATCACTGTGTGTTATATAAAAAAAGTATCTAATATGGAATTACCTTCTACCACTGTCCCAAGTTCTACGCATACATTAGGAATTAACTCTTAAGAGTTATTTTTTTTTATTACAGCTTGATTTCACACTGTATTTTTGGTACAAGTATGGAATTTTCAGCATGGATATCGGTAGCCCAAATTTCGCAGGCCAACCATTGATATGAGGTGTTCGTCGGCAGGGGATCGAACCTCGGACCATGTGGATGGTCGGTGAGAGTCCTAACCACTGTGCCACCGACGTACCATTCATATACAACTTATTTGTGTATCAGTACCCAGCTCATTAGTTTAATACAGCCTAAATGCTCGTCAAGTCTCAAGAGACAGAACTTCAGATGCTTTGCATTTTGATACGGGAATAAAACGGAGCATCTCAGTGATTACTCATACGGTATTGTTCATCCTTTTATAAGTCACACTTTTCTTTTCCTCAGTATTTCTCAGATAGGTATTGTTTTCTATAGCATGTACTGTACTAACTGTCAACAAATTTTTAAATTGATTTCTGTCAGCTTCATTCGCTTCCATGTCATAAATATGAGGAATTTTGGCAGTGTAATTTTTATTTAAGAGGCGATTATACAGATTCCACAACATTTGAATCGCTCAATAGATTTATAGAAAGTAAATGGGGTGAAAATGTGAATCGAATATTTTACTATGCTATACCACCATCAGTATACAAACCTGTTTCATCGTCTATCAAACAGCATTGTATGTCTAAAAGGTAAGCAAAATTTCATTACATTCTGTCGTTTAATTTCCCTTTTAACAATACTGGGCCATATTGGACCTATATTTTACATATTATATATATACTCTATAAAAGTTTTGTATTGTACTTGAGAGTATAAAACATTAAATGTTAATGCACATTACTGGAAGCATGAAAGGTCAAAATGTGAATATTTTAAAATTTAATCAATCGTAATTAACGACAAATTATTACTATTTATAATTGTAATTATTATGAATACTGTTTTTAGCTTGTTTCATTAAATTTTAATTTTCAAGTTGATGGACAAGTTAATTGGTTGGTTAGAGTTCAGTTCACTACTTGTGTTAGTATTACAGTTGATATGGAATTTGATAAAGTTTAATCAATTTCAAGTTTGATCATAAACTAACTTCAGTGAAATAACCACTGAAAACCTCCAGGGGTTACTGGACAGCTGTTTTGTCCTTGTTTGGGACTCTTCGTCGGTACGCACCCGTGAACCCACCATGGATCGAATTCAGGCCCTTCAGGTTGCAAGGCAAACTCGTTGATCATTCAGACATCGAGACGGAATCCAGTGGTCGCTATATATATAGCGTAACTGCTGCTAGCCAATATCATCGGCAAGTATCTGTCATCAAATCCAACTCGGTGGACTTCCACTGGTCAAGACTTCCCATTAGGATTTTAAGCAACTTCATCCTGTAATCAGTCAATACTAGTTCTCTAAGTAAAGTTAGTTTGTGAGCAGTCTTGATAGTTAGAAACCAAAAACAAATCATTTTAAAGAATCTGATCAATCGAAGGGACATATTTCTTGTTCTTTACAGTATTTTCAAAGTCTGTTTATAGGTAATATTGAAAACAAGATTTTTATATGACGATATGCCCTCTTGTGTATGTGTAGTGCATGCGTTCAAAACTTGTTAAAAACACATACTTTTTATCTCAAAATCTGTTTTATCTTGAAAATCTGTCAACTAAGTTTTCTGTTGTGAAACTGTACTCCTACTCAACACAACTAGGTGTTGTTGTAACAAGTAGCTTAGTGAAATAAGCTGTCCGCGGCAACATACTTGAAACCAGTGACGATTAGAGATACGACTTCTCTGAAGTAATATTTTTCGACAAAAGTGAAAAAAACGAGACAGCTTAAGAAATAGTCAATCGTTCCCCAAATTATTAGACAAACTAGTCTGGAGAAATTGATGATAACTTTTAAGAATGAAAAGTTGAAACACTGAGTGATACCTTTTAGGGGACATTTCACTCAGCCTAAAAGTCCTGTCTAAATATTATACAAGTAATATATTGACTTCAGGTCTTCAACTATCTTCAAGGTTAAACAGTGTCAGTAACTCAAGGATTTACAATACCAGTTATCCAGTATTTGTCGTCAAAGGTGTTCCGGGATGCTGACTCAGGACCGACTGTTCATCAAACTGAAAATTATGTCAGTTATAACTTGGCAGTTTGTTATGGTTACTTGTATTTATACGTAGGCTTTATTCATTCAAGAGTACAACGAAAGATTTTAGACGGCCCAGTTAAGCAACAGCAATTCGGAGTGCGAGCACATCGATAGCCTTGAAGGCATACTATTCGTTGGATAAGGGGACGTGCCGTTATCATAGCACGACTATGAATGCTGTGCACACTCTGAGGTGCAAATTTCATCTCTATCTCGTTTCTAAGTACTATTTGGACAACGAGTTGATAGCTCTTTAGGTTACGATAAGGGTTAGGATTAGGATTGGGGTGTTATATTTTCATTATCTATATTTTTCCAGTAAATAAACGACATTTTTATGTCAAATATACTGGTTAGTCTGTTTGGTCACCTCAAAGTCAGTTGTGCGTTCACACTTCTTGCATTGCTATTCTTTAACTTTGCCTTTCAAACCTCGATTAATTGTGGGGAAACCAAGTGTAACCAATAAATTTTGGGGAGACACTGTGAGTTGAATTTTTTTTAAAGCGGAACTTCTAATGTGTAAACAGTGAATTAGAAAGAATCAATCGAATTTTAAACCGGATCATGTATGCCAAATGCTTTAACATTGAGTCGGGATCTGTGTATCACTTAAAGTAAATGGTATTTATATGACCACATTCATGGTTATGTGAGAGCCTACATGAAATCACCTAGTTACATGGCAATCGCATTGACATTTGTCGACGTTCTCTCCTATTTGTTTGACTGTTTAACAGACTTAACTACACACCACTAAGACCACACTTTCCTCTAACTTAATAGCAATAGATCTTAAAACGTGCATAACTGGTATGTGGAGCACTTATGTAGAAAAGCAGTGCTGTTTGAATAAACTGACATGACACTCAGTCTTTTTGAGCATTTTAAATGATAATTTAAGGTCTTTTCATAAGTTTTCCTCAATGTCAAAATTTAAATGTTGGCTAAGATCTGGTGTAAGTAGCAAGAAGGTATCATCAGTCATTTCGTTTATTTGGAATGTTATATCAATCCTAAACATTAGAGTAATTTGTGTTAAAAATATTACAAATTCATGAGTTCAGTAAAGCCGTCGGTGCTCATGTACATTTTTCTACTTGAATTTCAAGTGAATTATAAGTATTACCCATATATATCAACAATGTTATCCTATTTTTAATTTTTCATAGCCCTGGAACTTGGACTCGCCTAATCATTGAAAAACCTTTTGGTCGAGATTTAATATCTTTTAATGAATTGAATTCTACATTGGCGTCACTTTTTACAGAGGAACAAATTTATCGTATCGATCATTATCTGGGCAAAGAAATGGTACAAAATCTATTAATTCTACGGTACGAGATTATACTACTTTTTTCTAAAGAAAAAAACTTTTATAATATTACTATTGCTAATTTTTCTCTATAGAATGTGAAGGTGGCTGACACAAAAAGAAAGCCACTAACGTATTACCTGTAGTGATTTTCAGTATTTATTTATTTATCTATTGTTCCCTTGGGTTCCTAGTGGAACATTCAACTGCACGTCTCCACTTGCTTCTGTCTTCCTTCTGCTGTACTTTTCACCTGAATCCATGTTACTCCATACTGTTTCAACTCCTCTTCACACGATCTCCTCCATGTCACCCTTGCACTAACGTCCCACTCGTCGCTTCCCTTTCGGCCTGGTTCCACTCGAACAATAGCCTGACGCTCACGCGATGTCACCCAGAGGCGGCCTCCTCAGCGAGCGAGTGTCCAATCCATATCCACTTTCAGTATAGTGCTCACAAAAAGAAGTAATGAGTATTTAACTATGAGTTGGATAATTTCAAAAGTCAGGTTTTTCTGAAGCCATATGATGAACAGATTATGTGACAGCGAGAAAAGGAGAGAGGCGGCGGGGGGGGGGAAGGCGAAAGACTAATGATGAACACATCTGTTTTAAATGAGTTGTATTGAACTATTGAATCACATATTATCGTGCACGGGATCTGTGTGTATATTGCTAACATGTGTCACCATTTTAATATCAGGGAGTAGGGAAAGTTAACTATGTAAGTTTTTATTTTTTTATCACTCAGTAGTGTTATGCCGGGTTACATAACAACAATAATCTAAGTCATGTTGATTTTGAATTTTATTGATACACAAAAAAGTCCTATGTTTCACATAAAAATCAATTTCAAGAATAATCGTTGCACAATTAACAATTAACAGAGCATGCCTATTACACAGAGTAGTTATTTTGTGGGAATTGGTAGGCTAAACTACTTTTGTCCTCTGATGGATAAATAATATCGAAAGGATTTTTTAAAAAAAGAACACGATACCATCTAGCACTTATGATTTAAAAATTATCATGTTTAAATGATGGTGAAGACGTATTTATCCAAAGAAATTTAATTGTATAGTAAATCTTTGCGTCATCAAATATTTAACAGTTAGACAAAGAAATTTGCCGCTTTTATTGGTCAGCTGTTTATACAGATTGAATAGACAGGTAATTTAGTAAAGTAACAGTTGTAATAAACTATAGTCACTCTGACTTCAAAAGCGAAATCGTGTCCTACAGAGCATATCGAAGCACGTGAAGTACGCCTTGTTTTTTCCCTTTGGCAACTATTGATTTTTGCATTCTAAATACAGCTCTGAAAATTTATATCATACTCAGGTGTAACTGGATTGTTTTTAAACCCTATTTAAGCACAAGACATCTCTTATATACATATATTCTAAAAAGAAGTTGTTTCTGGTTAGAGTTAGCGTGTTTTACATGTGGAGAAAATATTGAATCGGAAATGGTGCTCACATCACGTCGTATATATATATATATATATATATATATATATATATATATATATATATATATATGAGTTTAGAGCCGTTTAAAGCGTCATAAAGAGCACCTCAAGCAAACTACAGACCTTCATTAACAACTGTCTTCGCTTAATACTCAAGATCAGATGGCCAGAAAAGATCACCAACAGGGATCTCTGGCAGTGAGCGAACCAACCAGGAACCGATTGTGAAACAAATAGGCAGGAAGAAATGGAGATGGATTGGCCATACTCTGAGAAAACAAACCATCAAGTGACATCACATAACAGGCCCCCGAGTGGAACCCGAATGGGAAGCAGCGAGTTGGTCGTCCAAGGGTGACTTGGAGAAGATGAAAGCCTGTGGGCAGACTTGGAGCGGGATGAAAATGTTGGCAGAGAACCGAAGGCAATGGAGACGCGCGGCTGAAGCCCTGTGTTCCTCTAGGAATAATAATAATTAAGGCCGAAGTGCTGATCAGATTTCCAATAGTTTCTTTCTTAGTTTTCATGTAAAATGTAGGTAGGTATGCATTATTTCTCATTGATTTGTTCTACTTCAAACCTCTCCGCCTGGAGACACTTTTGTTCATTTTGGTTGAAATTAGACTAACTGAACACAAAAGAACCAAGCTATCTATAATGAAATATATTTTGTTGTCTTATAGTGATCTTAACAAACATAACTCCATGTGTCCGTTAAAGTGTATCACTAAAATGGCTTACATAATTACCGAGTGAATTAGTGAAGCCAATGAATTATTATCATTCAGTGTCAATTATCAACTTTAATACAATGAACTTTCATTTTATTTCATGTGAATATTATCATCATTATTGTTACTTTTCACATAAAATGATGAGAGTATAAATTTAAAAATTACTTGTAGAAATAAAATGTTTCTACTATTTATGCCTTATATGTGATTATAACCATAAACTGCCGAGTAAAATGTTCACCATTTAGAGGTTGGCTGTTTATGGTATTATGTAAATCTCATGTTGACAAGAGTATGTAGTGATTTTTGTACATTAGTGTGAAAAATTGTTGACTTTTCTCTTGATAATATTATTTCACCATTTTAACTGGATCGAATTATTAGTTAGTCTTCTGATAAAATACGAATTAACAGATTCGTGATGTCAAAAACTTCTCGTCCTTGTAGAAGTGTTCAACCTGTGCAATCTGTAATATAAACGCACTGTTTATCTCCACTCGTTACTTAACCTCATTCTAAACATTAATCTGTGCATCGGTGGTTCAAAGCTAGAATGCTTGCCAACCGTGCATATGGTTCGAGGTTCGATTCCCGGCCGATGTACTCCCAAACCTTGCTAGGCTGGTGAACAGGGAAGGTTGGGCATGAGGGTAGCAACCCCACCTCATAAAACAAAACACCACTACTACCGAGACGTCAGAGCTCTAGCTTGAAGCCTTATGTTCCACTGGGAACGTGAAGGAATAAAATAAAGAACGTTAATCTTATCTTGGATGGAGACGTGTATAAGAGGAATTTGCAGTGGGATCACGTTTATACTTTTTTTTCCTTCACGTTCCCCAGTGGAACATAGGGCTTCATGCTAGTGGCTTGAAGTTTTTGGCAACAGTGATTATTTTACAGGATGGGGTTGCTAGCCTCATGCCCAACCTTTCCTCTTTACCAGGATTATTTCTGGCTCAGGGAGGTAAAGGAGTTCGTCGGCCGGGGATCGAATCCCGGGCCATGTGCATGGTCGACGAGCGTCCTAACCGCTATACCACCGACGCTCGTTTATACTTTGGAATACTTTAAAGAAAAGTATGGTTTGAGTACTGAGGTAAACTTTTTCAGTTACCTAGACAGCATTGTTTCATCAACAAGTGGCATGTGCGAGGATGTTGAAGCCAGGATCACAAAGGCAAGACAGACATTCATCAGTCTGAAATCAGTGTGAGAATCTGTTCTAATCAACGTAAGGGACAAGATTCAGATTTTCAACATTAATGTAAAGTCAGTTCTTTTATATGGTTCAAAGACTTGGTGTGTCAAGAAAAACATTTCTAACAGGCTATAGACTGCCTTCGCTGCATACTGAATAGCAGATGGCCAGAGATAATTCTCGACACGGAACTCTAGCAACTAACTAATTAGCAAGCAACCTATCGTCCAACAAATTTACAGAAGAAAGTGGAGATGGATTGGACATACTCTGAGGATGTCGTTGATTGATTCGTCCACACGCCTGACAAGCCATTGATTGGAACCTGAATGGGGAACGGCGAGTTGGGCGTGGATCCCACAGGCGCGACATGGAGGAGACGATGGTTTATGGGCCATCGTTGAGCTAGCTAAAGAGAACTGAAAAAAAAACAGAATGAAATGGAAATGTACTGCTGTTGAGAGGATAATCAATCTAATAAATAATACTGGGTGTTACAACAGTTAGAACAGTTCCCTACTGTACACATAACGTGCAGTCCTCTACAACCGTCAAAAAAACCTGTAAGCTGATGGACAGCTTCACAGCGTATAATATTAATTCATTTAGCTAGTATTAACTTATTTATTATGTGAAAATTCCTGTTCATAGGAATTTGTGTTTCTCACATTTTAGGCCCTTCTACCCTTGGTCAGTGATTGTGTGTATGTTCGTGTGTGTGTGTGTGTGTAATATTTTTTTTAATAATGAGATTCATATAATTACTAGTTAGCGTTATTGAATGTTTGAAAGTTTATGTATCCTTGGTGTAATGAAATGAATTGAGAATAAAAACTGTAACGCATGTTATAAAATATGTTTGTTGTAAAAAAAACCCAACTTTATCGACTATTTTCATTTAAAAATAACTTATTTTAAGGTTTAGCGGATGCACATAAAATGTTACATATTAAGTGTGAGTGAGATAACTGTGCATAGTTTTATTTTACCCTAAAACTTGATGAATATCAACAATGACTTATTCATCATGAAAATTGGTCACTAATATGTAAATAAGACTGATGTATAATCATTTCTTTTTGTATTTCTATTTTCTAACCTCGATAACTTTATATAGAGGAAGAATTGGAGAGTGTTGCTTTCAACAACAGCAGGGCGATTAAATACTTTCTTCATAACTTTCTATTGTAAACTAATATCGTCATATTTGCATAAAACTATGTACTACTAATTGGTTGAGATGAGTAGTAGTGCTTACTAGTCAGATCAAAGTGATTTAAACAGCGGAGATCCGTTTCTCTCTTTTGGAGCCGAGATCATCAGCGGTGCACCTGGTTTGACTCATGTCAGAGATCCGAATCGGTTCAAACCCCTCGATTTCTCGTTGGCTACTTGGTTGGGTGGTTTCAACCGATTCGGATCTCTGATCTGTACAAGCGCTAGTGTCAACTATAGCTTAATAAGATATATATATATATATATATATATATATATATATATATATATTATATATTATATATATATTCAATGGTGGTGTTTCAGCGAGACTTCATAACAAAAAGCATACATATACTTACACATAAAATTACTATATTATCTGTTTTGAAACAACCTAAAGAATACTGACATTATCAGTCGTCTGCTGGCTAGATAAAATCACTGTAACATTTTGTAAAGGCATGAAAAAGATTTGCTTGACTAGAAACTGATTTTTCACAATAAAATATTAGCTGTTTACGATTGTGAATAAAAACGCCTGTCTGCTGACAAAAATACATAAGAAAAGTGTAAATTGTGATCATTTTTGATAAACAGGTCTCCATGATTATATCGAATGAACAGTCCATAAATTGTAGTACAGTATTGATAAGTAGTTGTATATATTCATGATATTGATTCACGATCGACTGAATGCATAAGATATGTATTATAATGCATTAGAACAAGAGTATCCAACTTCCCATTCACTCATACACCGGCATTTGAATACCTTATTTTTTATATTTTTATTCCTTTACGTTCCCAGTGGAACATAAGGCTTCAAACTAGAGGCTTAAAGTTTCTGGAGCAGTGGTGATTATTTTTACAGGATGGAGTTGCTAGCTTCATGCCCAACCTTCCCTCTTTACCAGTCTTATTACTGGTTTAGCAAGGTAAAGGAGTTCGTCGACCGGGGATCGAACCCCGAACCACTTGTGCGGTCGGCAAGGACTCTACCGCTGTGTCACCGACGCTAAGAATACGTTAGTATTATATCTTATATTGTGAGTCATTATGATGAAATGTAGAGCAGTGAATAATTTCAGAATTTGACAGATGACAAAGAGTGAGTACATTTGCAATATTGTAAGCGATTTTCAACCGAATTACTAATAGTTTCCAACTATTGATTTCTAACGTCCAGCGAACACCGGTTAGACATCTTGTTTGGCTCAGGGCTTTATAGATTTGTGTTTCTTCAGCTGATGGTGGCGGTAGTTCGGTATGTTCCACATATGTTCCAGCTATCTTAATTCTTGGAGTTGTACAACCTTATAGATTAATTTCTGCTACTAAACTAGACTTTTATGCCTAAACTCATTATTACTGACTATATCGTACTGCATGACATGAGAGAGATTGTGTGTGGGCACATATAATCAAAAAGGGCTAATCTCTTCATATCTTTCACCGTCACCGGCAAATATTCACAGCATACTGCAGAACAGTACACATAATTTTACTTGGATATCATCCCTAAAACAACAGGTGACGCATTCTGACAAAGCCTAACATAGCCCTTTTTCATATTTTCCTCAGGTTTTGTTTATATCGAGTTTATAAGGTCTGATGCAGCTTCTCCAATCAGTAAAACAACTAGCACATAAAACATTTCACTGCTTATCCTCAAATTGCTAGTTGTTGTAAATCAGTTCTTGTAGTAGTGTCATTTTCCATTTAACATGCACGGATCCCATGACAAACACACATATGTTCGAACGGTGTCTCTAGTAGACTATGCATTTACTTTTTCAATATCTTCACCTAAAAGAACTATATCCTCTGCATACTATGAATCAATGTTTTAAACATCGAAGTCGACTGGAGTCATATATATATGTATGTGTATGTACTTCAGAACTTGAAAGCTTGACTAAGTCACAAATGTATCTGGAATGACTTTAAAAGATGTCTATTGTGTTTCACTTATCCTATACCACTATGTTCACTTCATGTAAGATGAGTTCGAACATTTGACTGGTTGTTTGGCGTTTAGTTATGTTGTGTATATTGATAAGTAGATATTTGAGGAATTCATGAAAAATCCCTTGTAGGACATTTAGAAAATAAAGAAACTTTGTTGGCTATTCCACTTAATTTAGCTGTACAACAGCATTTGTGTACAGCTTTCTAACATGAGTGTGTTCAATACATTTTCTATGTTTTGGAAAGATTTTCAGTGTAGATTTCGTCACCAGCCAACATCAGTTATACAGCTCATTGAAAACCAAGTAGAACTCAATAGCTGTTTTACCCTAGTTTTGGGACTCTTCAATGGTACACACCCTTGGCCCCAGCGGGAATCGAACCTATGACCTTGAGGTTACGAGACGAAGCCAGTTGACTCTTCAACCCCATGGGCCAGAATTCAGTGATGTGTGAATTCCAATTTTGTCAATTCGTGATATACTGCTACTCTTATCTAATGCCTTCGATTAGTATCCTCTTTACCTTCTGGTCACGACTTCTCAGTACAGTGCCATATCACTAATAGAAAAAGTTAGAATTTTCCAAAGAATGGATACTGAACAAAGAATACTCTTTTCGATAACCCCTTCTTCATCAGACTCTACAGTTATGTATACACATTATAGCGAATGAATGAATTAGTGTTATGGACAACATTAATGTTGTTTAAATAACATCGAATCAAAAATAATATTCATAGATTACAGCTAAATAGCATCAACATAAAATAAGCTGAATATCAGAAAAATTAGGAAAGATAATATTAAAAATTCATGAATTTATAGTCTCTACTGAGGCTGGCCAGGGCAGTAGTAGGGGCTGGACTTGCTTCTTTTGAACACAGAGCACTGGTTGTTTGAGGCGAATTGCAATAGCCTATGCTGTTCGGAGCACGCGGTGCTTCGATGATTTTGGCAATTTATTAGGCACCCGGTAGATGATGATAGAGAAGGATTCTTCCACGCTGACTGGCTTTGTGGCCGGCCGGTTTGCACCAGATGGTTCAATATCGAACTGTTAATGGTTTTCACTACACCTTTACTTAACCATAGTGGGAGATGTTCTCGAGCACGAATTCCCGCGTCATTGCATTCTGACCCATGGGGCTGAATGGTCAACGAGCTTGGCATCGTAACTTGGAGGTCATGGGTTCTATTCCTACTTGTGTCGAGGGCGAACACCACTG